ATCGGTTGTGAAAATAAAAATACATCAATATGCCAATGATTGGCATTTGAAAACTGCTGCGATATTCCTTTCAACTTTCATCAGAGCGAATTATATACGCGATGATAGCGAAAAGTTACTGGTTAGTATATTTTACAACTCATTGCTTGATTTTGTTAATATTAAGCTAGACTTTGATTCGTGGCAGAGTAACAAAAAGTCTAGCGTTAAGCCGTCAAATGATCTTCAAGAACCGGAGCTACAAACTGTAATTGACTATATCCACGGACATAATAATTCGTTCAAATTTAACGAATCATCCTCGTATTTTTTTTGCCAATACCCATTTTTGATATCGCTAGGAAGTAAAATATCCATATTGGAATATGAGGCTAGAAGACAAATGGAAAGAAAAGCAGAGGAAGCATTCATAAACTCTCTTGACAAGAGGATTGCAATTGATATCTATTTCAAAGTTAAGGTCCGACGGGAATACATAGTTCAGGATTCACTTAGATGCATTAAAATGAATCCTACCAATCTAAAGAAAAGTTTAAGAGTACAGTTCATTGACGAACCAGGGGTCGATGCAGGTGGAATTAAGAAGGAGTGGTTTTTATTATTAACCAGAGCGTTATTCAGTCCCCAGGCGGGAATATTTGTAAATATCGAAGACTCCAATCTCTTGTGGTTTAACGTTGTACCCATTGAGAATTATGAGATGTACTATTTATTTGGAGCTATTTTGGGCTTAGCAATTTACAATTCCACCATATTAAATTTAAAATTCCCTACAGCCCTATATAAGCTACTTTTAGGTAAGCCTGTGGACCTCAGCGATTACCAGAAGCTATATCCTGTATCTGCTTCGAACTTGCTAAAACTTAGGGGGTACAGTAACGAAGAATTGACGGCCATGGAACTAACGTTTGAAGTTTCATACACCGATTTCCTCGGCAAAGTTCACACCAAACAATTGATACCCAAAGGCAGAAATACTATAGTCACGGTCGAAAACAGAGAGACGTATATCGAGAAGTACGCCAAATTCTTCATGTATGACGGCATAACCAACCAAGTCAATTTCTTTGTCAAAGGCTTCTCCAACGTCATCGGTGGAAATGCCTTGTCGCTCTTCCTGCCCCAAGAGATAGAATTGTTGCTTTGCGGCAGTGACGAGGAAAAAATCGACGTCGCCATCCTCAGATCTATAACTAAATACTCCGGCTGGAAGGACAATGACCACGCCATAAACTCTTCTCCAGTCAAATGGTTCTGGGAATACATGGACAATCTATCCTACAAGCAACACAAAAAGGTCTTGGCCTTCGTCACCGGCTCCGACAGAGTACCAGCAACTGGTATACAGAATTTGAATTTCAGGATCAGCAGGCTAGCAAACGGCAAAGACAGTAACAGATTGCCAGTTGCTCACACTTGCTTCAATGAACTCGCGTTGTATGAGTACTCATCCAGAGAAAAAATGTTCTCCAAATTGACGACTGCCGTGAACGAGAGTTCGGGCTTTGGTATTAAATAGCTTATAACGCCTACATAGTTCAGTATATGACCCCCAATACCCATTCTCCCTGCCAGTATTTTGCAATCGACCCATGTAGACGAACAGATCCGACGATCACGTGATACAAGATTTGTTACCCGGTTTGAAGCGAATCCTCTTTCGAGCCAATTAAAAAAGCTCAAAAACAAATTTTGAACTTTAGTGACTTTTATACTTACATAAACTGGTAGAAAACATATCACAACAATTTATTTAATTGTATACTTTAATTAAAGATGTCATCCCTTGCTTTTAGATCTTTAAGAAATGGATTAGGATTAAAGAGTATGTAAAAATACAAGAAAATTGAGATGATGAAGTGTTTATTGACTTGTTTCTAATAGTGAAAAATTCGCTAGCGGGTAATTGAAACAACTTCATTATTAGATGTACATTGTGAACAATATATACTAACATAATTATAGGTTCTATCAGAACTTTATCCACCACTACTTCTGCATTGTCCAAGTATGACCAACCAGACTTTAGCAGTTACTTAAACAATAGATCTCAAGAAAAGAACCGTAACTTCACTTACTTCATGGTAGGTTCTATGGGATTATTGGGTACTGTTGGTGCCAAGTCCACCGTTGAATCTTTCTTGTCTTCTTTATCTGCATCTGCCGATGTTTTAGCTATGGCTAAGGTTGAAGTCAAGTTGGGTGCTATTCCAGAAGGTAAGAACGTTATTGTGAAGTGGCAAGGTAAGCCAGTTTTCATCAGACACAGAACGCAAGATGAAATCGACGAGGCTAACGAAGTTAAAGTTGCTAATTTGAGAGACCCAGAAACCGATGCTGACCGTGTCAAGAAGCCTGAATGGTTAGTTATGTTGGGTATCTGTACCCATTTGGGTTGTGTTCCAATCGGTGAAGCCGGTGATTTTGGTGGTTGGTTCTGTCCTTGTCATGGTTCTCACTACGATATCTCTGGTAGAATTAGAAGAGGTCCAGCTCCATTGAACTTGGAAATTCCAGCTTACGATTTCACTGACGACGAAACCTTAATGGTTGGTTAAATTTGTTTGCAAGAATGAATCGAACAAACTGAGGCATAGTAGGTTGTGCACGGAGAGAAGGGAATATCTGAATTCATGTTCATAGGTGATACTAAGTTGTTTAATTTTAAAAAATTATATTTATTTTTCAAACCATAACGTTATACATTTATTATATATTGCTGCTTTTAAATATAGTATATTATGCTATAAATTACTAGTTCTTATTGGTTAATGATTTTATTTAGTTTTTTTAGTTTTTTTTGTATATTGGTAATATACTGCATTAGATAAGAGAGAATCAGTACCAGTACAATTCGGATACTGAACATTGGTATCTAGTCGGTCAGTTGTGTTCATCTGGGCCCTCATTTTAAAAACCGAAACCATATTCATCATCACATCGCAGCTCATAAATATTCGTTTTCCATTTCCGGATAGTCAATTTTAGATAAATTCTTCGGGAATATGCCGCAGCACTTTACTTCGAGTTTCTGCTGAATTTACATTCTACAATGTTTAACATTGTTCAAAGTGTTATTAAAAGTGACAAATACATATTTCCGTGAGTCGTTGAACCCGGATGACCAATTGGTCATTAAAGTAATTGACCCTATTGAGCGTATTGATAGAATTGATGAACAATGTATCAAAACATACTAGGTGAAATTATGAGTTACGAAGCTTAGCCGCATATTCTAGCTCCAATAGTTTGTACATCAAACAAGTCAGATTTACAATTAGTCTGTCAGATTCACAATACTAATGTAAAAGTGCATATTGACATAACTAGGGAAAAAATGCTAAATTATCTCATACAATTTGCTACTAGTACATTATTAGTAACCAAGAGCTAACAATACATCAATCTGATGTTCCCTGCATTTTTATACAGAATTGATATAGAATAGATATGTTCGTAGTAAATGCATTTCTTATGAAGCAATAATATTTGACTATTCTAATGACGAAAATATCTAAGAAACATTATGCAAGTACGATAGGAAGAATTACAGCCCTTTGCAAATGTGTTTCTGGTAAGTACTTATGGGAACCCGAAAATGATTATGCTCCGAAGTTACCTTATATAGACACCAAGGGTAGGAGAAAAAAGCTGAAGTAATCTGGATGATACAGCTTGTCAATTATGAGATGCTATACGAACCCCCTTCAATAGTGTTCAAATGGCAACCAATAGTAACATAAAATCATGCAGCTCCGCGAATTCAAGGGAGGTCCATGGTATTTTCAGGATCTTAAAAAACCTGTCAGTATCAATGTATTTGATATCAAAAAACTTAGCTTTTGCGTATCCGTTAGTATCCATTTATTTCGTAGCCCTTGTGGCAATCCATTCATTGACAATTAGACATTAGGAACAACAGCTGTATAGGACGATATTAATCAAAGTTGGATAAACAAACATTGCCATCTGTACAATAATATGATGAAATGATCTCATATGATATTAGAAGATTGGGATTGCTTAATTAGTTCTTACTATCATAGTAATATATAATTGCTTGAGCTTGCAATCCATGAAATAATATTAACCTATTTATCATAAACCAAATATATCTGGATTGTATTTTGCCCCTAATTGAAAGAAGTACTTTTCAATCTTCAATTTAGCTTTTATCTTCCTAGATTAATTGCATACTCTTTAAATATCTGAAGTAGTAAGAAGTATTTTCGCAGTAGATTTTGCAGCCATTTTGATTTTCTTAACATCAGGTGGTATGCTCATTAAATATCTCCCCTTTACACGAATTATTCTTGGTAAAGGTTCTCTGTTAGATTATTTATTGCAACTTAAATGTTGACTAATATGTATTTCTTAGGGTGCTGAATTATCTAACAAGGGATGCCAATTATTGTTCTGCAAATATTATGCAAAGTAGTTATTTCTGACTGTTAGTAATATGTTTTTGGCGGAACAAAAGCCTCATATATTACGACATGCATAAACTACAAAACGTGAATTAAATATGGCAACGAACGTACCTCACAATACACCGCCCTGGAAACATAGAATAGCTAAAGGCAACAAATGCATAAACATCGTTCACCATAATTGTACTTCTTTGACCGCAAGCCAACATATTAGGGTAATATCACGTTACAAAACACAGAATAATAATAATAATAATAACAATAATAATAACACTTAAAAATACTCAAGTCTACTTGTTTTTACAAGTTTTTGGCACCTTCCATATGTCCCTACGTGTTTTAATAAGTCATTTTTTAAGTTCAATCAGTTAAAATAAAAATCGGGTAACCGAGAGAAATATATTCCTATTTGTGTAGCTGTAAATATGGTACATATAAATATGGTACATATAAATACATTAAAGCTACAACTACTAAAAAATATTCTTATATTCAAATATTATATATATTGAATTAGATTAAAATCTATTAAATTAGTGACTTTTTTCAAATTCGTTTTAGTTGAACAGAATGACAAGCGAAACAGATAGCATATTTCAGCAAGTTCCAGAAATAATAAGCCAAAATATCATTAAACTTGTGGACGACAGGATAAGCTCAGAAGTCCCACGAGTTGTTCAGTCCCTTTCACAACCACCTCAGTGGTTTGTAGATGGTATTAATTCAGTCAAGAATGAAGTCAAGTCAGTCAAGGATGAACTCAAGGAAGAAATCCGTATTCTTGAAAGAGCTGTGAATGAACTAACCATCTCAACGAATACTGGTTTCCGTATGATACACTACAAGCTCGCTCTCTTGGATAATGTAACCAGAAGAAATAATGGTTATACTGTTGCTCCTGTGCCATTTATAAACTTAGAAATCACGCAAGACGGTTTACCCCCTATTGAGACCGTTCAAGATATTGACAGTTTAAGTAAAGAAGACTGCCAGAAGTATTTAGATGGATACAATATTCCATATCGTCCAAATGAAAGGGCGTTATTAAAATCAAAATTGAGAGATTCTGTTGGTTTGGTAAGTTCAGGGGATTTGAGGTATACATTTAGTAATTTCACGGAGGAACTTTAGTTCTACTTGGAATAAGTAGATTTGTGTCTTCTAACTTCGTATTCTATCATTTTATTTCATGTTTGCTTTTCAGTTTATTTATTACTTTATGGTGTTTAGGGCTTCATTTGGGATTTGATATATTTATATTTTGCTACATTTTTCATATACCTAAATAGTAGTAAGACAAAGAAAAAAATTACTGTAATTATTATGTTGGCAACTTTCTTTGAGTCTGCTTATATCAATAGAAATATCTGTTGTTTTTCGAATATAAGTAAATCAGAAAGATTATTTACCGTAGGTTTCATTTTGACTCTTAATTTTTAATCCCTTGCCCAAGACTTTACCTCTAAACACTTAGAGATGGATGATGGTGATAGAGTTTCATGCCTAATTACGCAGAGTGAAGCATAATTTTCTTTTCAACATACTAATTAAAGAAGACGATCCTATATTTATTAGCAATGAGTTTTCGTAGCTGAATATTATTCTTATACTATTGACATATAAATAGGCAATTAAACTCTCTTTATACTAGTTTTTGGGTTGTTGGTATCTATTAAAATATATAAAGATACCTCTTAAAATGGCGTCTATGACTGATTTACTTACGAACCTTCCAGAAATTGTAGAATTTAATGATTTCGGAAGAATTAAAGAGACAATTCTGATGATTAGTCCACGGATGTTTGATAGATACTTGAATGAGACTCAGAATTTGATGAACAAGATCGGAAGTCTTGCGAGTATCGTTATTAACGAAAGTCCCAAGGAGCCGGACTTTGGAGGTGAAACTGTTTCTGTGAAACCATTAAAACTCGGGTTACTTCAATTTAAAAAGAATATTAGTGACTTCCGTCAGAAATATGCTACACTTGCTAGTCACTTTGCATACTATATGGACTGTGAACTTTTTCTTAATCAGGAGAAATTAATTAAAAATGTGACTTGCCTATCTGAGACAGAATCAGAAGTGTTTAAATATGGTAGACCATTAGAAACTACTATTTGGTATTTCAAATCTGACTTGGAGAGATTAATAGGTTGTTCATACTCTTTCGAAAATAGTGAAAGAGATTTGATTCACCAAATAAACCTTTTACGCGAGGTGATAAATATATCTCAAATCAAAGTTGTTACAAATAGATTGGGATATCTTACTATCGATAATTGAATTTACATCATTTTCAAGACAAGTCTTATATAACTATTTTAAATAATTTGTGCCATTTTTCAGAATTTATGGCCTACATATTTTTTAAACTGCAAAAAACTTGTAATCTAAATAGCTACATATATTTGTTAACAAGTAACTTTTTCTATAAACATGATTATCATTATAAGATTTTTCAGGTTTTTAATGATCATTCAATATTCTATCATATCAAGTACTGTTTTTCTAGTTTTCTCATTTGCACCCATTTACACCTTACTATAGCTCCTCTTAGCTAGAGCATTATTACTTAAATTGCTTAAACCAATTGGTAAACCTGTATTCCTTTATATTTTCTAAATTACAATTGATATATAATCCTATAAAACGAAACTAATGTTGAAAAAAAATAGCGTAACAGTCATTAATGTTGTGCATATTCCTAGGATCTGTATCCCCGGTAGGACGTATGCTTCTCCTCTGCAAATGGATTGCTTTTATCACTATAATCATCAGCTGGTACATATCCTCTATTACTATCAACTGGCGTATATCCTCTATTTCCACCGTACACTGCAGGTGGTTCTCTTGCATAGTAAGGTGCAGGTGTAGGGTACATGTTTGGATTGGCATAAGGAACCTGCTGTTCAACAACACGCTGGCGATTTGCAGGACGACAACAACACATACACAATGATTCTAGACAAGTTTTACCTAAGCAAATACATTGAATCAACGTTGATAATATCCAGATGCATATCAACGATGCCAACACTATACCCACAATTGCAACAATTTTACATGTTTTATTATCCATGCATGTATCCCAGCTCTTGAAAGCGTCAGCAGTGGAAGTAACATCATCAGATATCGAACGACCTAATAATTTTGAAGGACATAAGTCCGATGAGATCTTTGGGATACGCATATTACTAAATTGAATATTTAAGCTGATTTAATAGATATTAAGTCAATTATCTCTAAATTTGAAGATATAATCACAATTTTCAAAGGCGATTAAATAGAATAGAATATATATATTTGAGTATCTATTTCAATAATGTGGATCAATTAACCTATTTTGGGTTTGCATATTCTTATCAAACCTTTAAATATGTGAATTTTTGATGAGGCTGGGTAAACGCGTATGTGATCAAAAAATAAATAAGAAGGCAGTATCAGACATTCTTAGCGTATTAATGTACCTGAACCTATTAATAGAATTCTCAGGTGCATGCATGGATCTTCTTATACTGGATACCACAATTAGCCTTGGTGTATTAAGTCACTTAAATGATTTGAACAAGTCCAATATGGCCGCAAAAATCCTTGATCAACTGTGGAAAACGATCTTTTAATTCGTAAACCTCTTATATTCGATGTAATAGACAATAGCTTGTCCATTGCCCATTCTATTTCTTTTATTTTGTCATATATCTCTTCTACTTCGCTCAAACGGAGGAAACGACATATTTCTTCTTCGGTATTGAATTCGAGTATTAGAGTATTAGTGGAAGATAATGCCGAATTAGGCAAATTATCAGATAGAATTAATTTGAAGGGAGTGACTTTTAAAGTTCTCTTGAAAGGCTTAACGACAAATCGGTCATATGGTAGTATACCCTTGATGTAGGCATCAACTTCAAACGTGGTTCCTTTTTTTATATCGGCGAGGTTGAGAGGAATTTTTAGTAGCTGGTCCACCGTCACCTTATTTACTAAAAAGTCGTCGAAGGAATTGGTCTTGAAGTCCAAGTTTTGTGATGTCTGGGTATGATTGTATAGTGATGATGGCACATCCTCGCTACCATAAGGCTGTGTACTTGTCGTAATTGGCTTCTGCGTATCATCGAAACTTTTGTGCTGGTGAAATGCAAGGCTTACACCATTTGGAACCTTCTGTACTTTTGAGGGAGGTTCATTAGACAATTTCGACGAGGTAGTTCCGATTTCAGGCTCAATGCGCCGCTTGTAATCATCGAGAGAACCCCAGTTTCTTATAGGAAAATGCGGTGCAATACTGTCAAGTATCTCTGGACTACAATATTCCATATACCTAGAAACCAACTTATCAAGTTTCTTGTCTTCTGAATAGAATACCGGAATATTATCTCTGTCAAGTGTAACCAATGTAACAAGACTGCCTTCTATACATCCTCTATATAACTTCAATATAAATACAACTCTTGCAAATATTCCTTCAGATTCAAATTGACAATTATCTGGACTATTGAAGTTATAATCTTTCATACTCGTGTTTGTTCTTGACAATTCATTAGATACTTTCTCCATCAAATGAGACGGAACGCCAATTGATAATACCTTATTAGAGTCAATTGGCTTTTCTATCTGAAAATTTATACTAACATTTTGTGGTAGAACACTTCTATAAAAAGCGGTTTCTTCGTTTGACGTGAAATCAGTAACATATAATATACCTGGAGCATTTGGTTTCCAAGTAGGACTTTTGAATAGTGAAAGGCAGTACACTGGTAGCGTAATTTTATACCTTATAGGCTCAATAGACGAAATTTGATCTGCATTTGGAAGATGAAAAATCGAATTACTGTAGAACTTCTTGTGCATGGTATGTCAACTTAGGTTACAATATTATAAAAGCTCAATTTAATCTAGTTTACTAGAGTTCATTGGAACACACTACGCGTTTGATTTTATCGATCTCAAATTGAGATAAAAAATCAGAACGCTCTTCCTGAAGCCTTTGCTAAATAAGATGAAAAGTATGTACATGAAATATACATAATCATTGCCAATAACTACAGTTACTAACGTTAAACTTTGAATTTAGAAGGGGGGAAAGTTCCAAAATTAGGTAAAAGGGCTCAGTCATTATTAAAGTCTCAGAAAGATAATCAAGAGTATGAATCAAAGCAACCACAAACGGCCGATGAATTCTTAGATCAGGGTGCGATTGATGAAGAAAGTGGGGATCGATGGTTAGGATCTGATTTGGCAAAAGCTCTTCGATTCTATCAAAAAGCTTACAATCAGTATCTAATGGCCATAAAACTCTCACCAAATAGTACTTTGGATAGCTACTACAATGCTTCTAGGCTTCTATTTCATGTTTACAATCAATATTTTAAAACAGATGGAGTTAGTGTATATGATTTAAACAATGTGGAAGATGCAATCAGTGATGGTGAAGATTCAGTAGTACAGAATTTATCAGAAATAGTGAGTGCTCATGAGAAGGCAATTGACGTAGCAAATTCTTTGAATGTTCGAATCCCTTTAGATTTATTATTTAATACTGCATTGGTCTATACTGAAGTGGTTGAAATCCAACAGGAGAATGAAAGCGATAATTTTGATACAGTCTTGGAGTATGGATACAAGACACAGGGCATATTTCAGAATCTTATAGAATTGCAAACAGCCGAACTTCAAAAGTTCATCAATGACTTAAATGAAATAACAAGTGATTCTTTAAGCACGAATAACATAGCTTCGAGTAATGATACGTCTCCACAAGAAGAAGAATTTACGAGCGAAGAGGTTCTACAGCCTTCTGATGTATTCGAAACAATAATATCGGCTTATAGACTAGCACAAGCGGTACTCGAGAACATAAGTGACCCAAATTCACAATTAATGCGGTCATTAGACATGATAAACCCATTTTTATCTACCTGTGAGGCTGTTGCAGATGACTTAATACTAAGCTTTGGAGAGAGAAATAATACGAAGAGCGACATGATTTCCTCAATTACACAAGAAAATGTGGATGACTATCAAATTTGCAAAACCTATATTAAAGGCTTAGCGATTAATGAATTCAGCAAGGTATATGAATTATGGAATAGTGATGAATTACCTCAAACACCTGAAAGATACATGCTGGCAGCTGATAATATTCAAACGATGATAGATCGAAATGACATTAATTTAATCAGTGCTTGCTCAAACCAGACAATTGCTGAATTCTATTGGAAAGCACTTACACAAATGGGTAAGTACTACAAACAATCACAGGAGTTATTGAATACGTTGTTGACAGAGAAGAAGAAAAGGCCTTCTGGAACAGACGATGGAATTGGGTCAATCATTTCGCAAATCAGCAATATTATTATCGCTAGATCCGACATCGATCTCCAGAGATCCCAATTACAAAACTATGAACCGGCTCTTAAGCATAAGGTAGTTTTATTTCAAAATTGCAAGACATTCTTGAAAAACGCCATGAATATTTCCAACACTACCGGAGGATTAAGAGAGCGCATAACCGAAAAACTCCAAAGAGAAAAGAGAAAAGCGGAAGCAGTAATGAGGCTCTGTATCCTCGAGCATAAGTCATCTCTACAAGAATTGGACTCAATTTTAGGTAGACAAAAATGGACGGCTGAATTGCCTAATTTAAGCAAACTCGGGTACTTCGACGCATTTGGTATCTCTAATATCGTAGTACCAACAGACTTCTAAGATATATCATCATATTCTATACACTATATAAAATCTAAATCCTATTATAACTATCGTAATCGTGATCGCTATCATCATAAGAGAACTCTGTAATTAATACTTTCTCGCCCTCAGTTGTCCCAAAATCACATAATCGGTATATCGGTAATATTGACGACGAATGCATTATCGGCATATTCATCTGGATGTGTACTCGAAGCACTAGCTTCAAATATAGAACTATCAATAAACTGTAACGAAATCGAATGCGATCGACAGTTGTTCACCAACACCTGTAATAAATTCACTTTTAAAGTGTATATGATAACTGAGAAGAATTTCATGTTTTTTTACTTCAAATTGATTATCTTCATAATCTAACCTCTTCTTATATCGGGTGCTATATCATATACGATTGAAAACGATTGCACTACTAATGAACGCTATTAATAATACAGCCTGATCAATCACGTTCGAATCTAGATAGCTTGATTTTGTAACAAAACGCTTTTCTGACTAATAACCGCAATTGCCTCATTGGGATGCGATATCAAAAATTATGGTGTTAATTCAATATATACAAATAAATAGGAAAATAA